TTTTATTCTGCTTCTGTGATACTACTGCCGTATGTTTTATTACTTATTTTTGTTTCATTTTGGTAGTCCCCGTGATTATGTTTTCAGGCTCAGTAACCTTTGATTCTGTAATGTCTCATCAGCTGTTAAGCCCAGCTGTGCATTTTTCAGCTCAGTCATTGTATTTCTCATTACCAGGATGACTTTGGATCTTTATATTTTATGTCTCCAATGTCATGACTTAGCACGTTCAGTCTTTCTCCTACCTTCTTGATCACATGAGGTATATGTGTGTTGTATCTCCATGTTCTTGGCACAGATTCTATCATCTGTGTTATTTCTGTTATTTTTTTAATTGAATTTTCTCATGGTATTGGATCGTATTTTCCTTTGTATACCTGGGAGCTTTGTACCTCAGGTGTTAGGAATTTGTTGCTAGGTGCTGAGATTTATAGATACACATATATCACATGTATGCAGATGTACTTAAGTAAACATATACTCTTATGAATATATATTTTTTAAATTTATTTTTATTAGTACATATATGCCACACATTAAAATCACAGTCATCATAAGGAATTTGTACCTGTACATAATAACCCTAATTCTTTCCTTTTTTTTTCTGGTACCAGGGATCAAACTTAGGACCCTACATTTGCTAGACAGGTGCTATGCCACTGAACTATGGCCCGCTAATTCTTTTTTTCCCATTTCCCTTTTCTCCCCTTCCTTCAACTCTTTTTCCCCTCCCTATTTACAAAAGCTTTGCTTCCATTTTTAACCCTCTATTCTTTTTAAAAATCCTTTTCATTCCCTTCCCTTTCCCTTCCCTACTCCCTCGTTCCCCTTCCCATTTGAATGTCTTCTTACTTTCCAGTGTCTGAACCGTTTTGCTTCTTATTTGCCCTTTGGGTTTCTCATACAAGAGAAACAGTGTGGTGTTTAAACTTGTGTCCGCTTTATTTCAGTTCAGATTATGGTTGCGAGGTGCAGCCGTTTACCTAAAAATGACTCAAGTTTATCCTCTTTTGACAGAGTAGTGCTCTGTTACATATAAATCACACCTTTTCTTTTTCCATTCATCTGTTGATGGGCATAGGGCTGTTTCCAAGATTTAACCATTATAAATTACACTGATATAAATATGGGTGTGCATATATCACTGTGGTATGAGGCTTTTAACTCTTTTGGGAAGATACCTAGGAGGGACACAGGAACCTCTAGTTTTAGGTGAAATGGAACCTGTAGTTTTAGATTTCTGAGGAGTCTCCACACTGACTTCCTTAGTGGTGCACCAGTTTACACTTCCACCAACAATGAAGAAGCGTTCCTCCCCACCGCCCGTCCTCGTGGCCTCTACAGGATTTGTTATTGGTTGACTTTTTATTGTAGCCATTCTTTCTGGAGTGACCTGGAACCTCAGTGTTTGTTTGATTGATTGGTACTGGGAATTGAACTCAGGACCTTGCGCATTTGAAGCATGCGGCAGAACCACTAAGCTAAATCCCCAGCCCTCTCAGTGTTGTTTTAATTTGCATTTCTCAAGCCACCAACAATGTTGAACATTTTTTCATGTATTTATTGGCTATTTATACTTCTTCATATGAGAATCTGTTTATTTCAGGTACCCATTTTATATTGGGTCTTTCAATTGGGGGGGGTCTGGTTTTTTTGAGTTACGTATTATACAGATTAGTTCTCTGTATGATGAGTAGCTGTTAAAATTTTTTTACCATTTTGTAGGTTGTCTCTTTGCTGTGTTGGTGGTTTCCTTTGCTGTGCAGAAATGTTTTAATTTAATGTGATCTCATTTGTTGATTCTTGGTATTATTTCTTGTGCAACGGGGTTCTGTTTAGAAAGTCTTTGCCTATACCTCTGTCTTCAAGAGTTTTACCTATTCTGTCTTCCAGCAGATGAATGTTTATGTTTTTATACTTAGATCTTTGATCCATTTCAATTTTAGTTTAGTGCATGGTGAGAGGTACAGATCTAGGTTCAGTCTTCAGCATCTGGAAAGCCAGTTTTCCCATCACCATTTATTAAAGAGGCTTTCAGTGAAGGTGTTTGGCCCATTTGTCAAAGATTAGGTAGCTGAGTGTGCTTGGAGTTGTTTCTGCATCTTCTGTTCTGTTCCATTGGTCTTTGGGTCTGTTTCTTTGCCAGCACCATGCTGTTTTTATCACAGTGGGTTTGTGATGCCTGCTGCCTTGCCTTTGCTGCCCAGAATTGTTTTCACTATTCTAAGTCTCTTTTGGTTCCATATGAATTTTAGAATTTTTTTTCTAGTTGTGTGAGATACACTGTTGGGATTTTGATTGGGATTGCGTTAAATTTATATTAGTTTCAGAAGTATGGCCATTTTCATTATATTGGTTCTTCCTACCCAAGAACAAGGCATGTCTTTCCATTGTCTCCTATCCTCTTCAATCTCCTTTATCAGAGTACTCTGCTATAGTTTTCAGTGTAAAGGTCCTTAACTTCCTTTGTTATTGAGTCCTAAGTATTTCACTTTTCTTGATGCTCTTGTGAAAGATGTTGTTTCCCCTGATTTCCCTCTTAGTGAGTTTGTTATTCATGTACAGGAATGCTGTCTGTTGATTTTTTGAGTGTTGACTTTGTATCCAGCTACAGTACTGAATTTGATTATTAATTCAGGAGTGTTTTCGTGGGACTTTGGGTGTCTTCTATGAAGAGTATCATGTCATGAGCAGATGATAATTTAACTTCTTCCTTTGTTATCCATATTCCTTTTATTTCTTTCTTGTTTGTTTCTTTGTTTGTTTGAGACAGGGTATGTCTCTTAGTATGTAGTTGAGACTGATCTGGAACTCACTATGTAGCCTAGGCTGGTCTTGAACTCACAGTGATTCTCCTGCCTCAGCCTCCCGAGTGCTGGGATTACAGCTGTGTGCCGCCATGCCTGGCTCCTTTTATTTCTTTCTATTGTCTAATCAGTCTGATTAATCTTTCCAAAGCTATAATTAACAGGAATGGTGATAGTGGGCATCCTTGTCTTATTCCTGATTTTACAGTGAAAACTTTGTTTTTGACTATTTAATATGATGTTGGCTGTTGGCTTGTCATAGATGGCTTTTATCAGATTGAGATAAAGACCTTCTAATCCAGTTTTCTTTAGGGTTTTTTTTTTATCATGAATTCGCAGTTGGACTTTGTTAAATCCTTTTCTGCATCTATTGAGATGATTGTGTATTTGTCCTTGGTTTTTTTTAATGTGGTTCTCTTTTTTGGTTGGATCTTTCTCTGGTTTTGGTGTCAGTGTAATGCTTTCTTCCAAGAACGACTTTGAGAGTATTGCTTCCCTTTCAGTTTCATTGAAGAGTTTGAAGAGTATTGGCATGAGATCTTCTTTAAATTTCATGTAGAATTCAGAAGTAAATCTATCAGGACCTGGGCTTTTCTTTATTGGTAGTTTTTGTATTCTTCAATTTCATTGATTGATATTGGAATTTTTATATTTTATCATTGATATTTAGAATTTTTATATTTTCTTGACTCAGCTTTGTTAATTCATTTGTATATAGCAATCTGTCCATTTTTTCTGAGTTTCCCATCTTCCTAGAATATAGGTTCTCAAAAGTAGACATTGATGATCTAGATTTCTGCAGGATCTGTTGTGATTTCACCCTTTCTGTTCCTATTTGTATGGATTGGGTCTTTTCTTTCCTTTTTTTTACAAGATTTGCTGTGGGTTTGTCTATTTTATTTAATCTTTCAAAGAACCAACTCTTCAACTCATTGATTCTTTGTATTGTTTTCTTAGTCTCAACTGCATTAATTTCTGTTCAGATCTTTATAATTTCCTTCCTAATACTAACTTTGGGTTCAGCTTGCTCTTCATTTTTCAGAACCTCGAGGTTCAACATTAGGTTATTTATTTGAACTCTGTTTCTCCGATGTGGGAATTTGCTGCTGTAAATTTCTCTTTTCAGACTGTTTTCACTGCATCCCATACGTTCTGGTATGTTGTATTAGCATTATCATTTAATTTTAGAAACTGTCTCAATTTCGTTTTTAGTTTCATCTGTGATCCACTGGATGTTCAGGAGGTAATTATTTAATTTCCACTTGCCTATGTAGTTCTAGTGATTTCTTTAGTCACTGATTTTCAATTTGGTTGCACTGTAATCTGATAAATGCATGAGATAATTTCAGTTCCTTTACATTTACTTAAGCATCTTCTGTGAGCTAGTAAGTGGCTTGTTTTGGAGCTATAGTACATTGGAGAAACTGCTGAAAAGAGTGTATATTCTGTTGTTGTGGGGGGGACACTGTAGATAGTTATTAAATCCATTTGTTCAAGGTTTGGTTCAGCTCTGATATTTCTTTGTTGATTTTATTTATTTATTTATTTTTTGGTCTAGTTGATTTCTTTGTGACAGTGGGACTTTGAGGTCCACCATTACAGTTGTATTAGTGCTTATCAAATTTTTCAGATCCATTAGTGTTTTTTTATTTGTTTTGTACTGGGGATCCAACTCAGGACCTTGCACTTGCGAGGCAGGCAGTGGAACCACTGAGCTAAATACCCAGCTCTAGTGTTTGTTTTATATAGTTGGTTGCATCATATTTGATGCATATATTTTTATGATTGTTTTCTCTTCCTCTTATATTGTTCCCTTTAGAAGGATGTATGTAGTGACCTTCTCTGTCTCTTCTGATCAGTCTTGAAATCTACTTTGTCTGCAAAATAGAGCTGCTACCCCTGCTTTTTCCTGGGTTCCTTTTGCATGGAATATTCTTTTTCACCCTTTGACTTAGTGAATTTCTTTTTGAGTTAAATGTGTTTCTTGTGTGCACATATTGTTGGATCTTGTTTCTTGATCCATTTTGCCGTCTGTTTCTTCTGATAGGTGAATTGAGACCATCTACATTGATGGTTATACCTGATATGTATTGACTTATCCTTGTCATATTATTTTCCTTCTTGATTCCCTTTTTTTTTTCCTTTCTTTCTCTTGTTTTGTTGTTTTCTGTATTGAGGCTTGTAAAGTGCTTATGGCAGGTAGCTTTATTACTAGTATTGAGACTTCTTAAGGAAATGACTACTTTTCAGAGATGTCTCCTAGGCATAACTGGGTTTTGGCCTTGGAGTCTGTCTCAGGATACTTCTTAATTCTTCCATTTATTAGGATGTGAGAGGTCGCTGCCTGTTTGGCCTTGTACCCATTTCTATGGTACTGGACTATGGTACTGTTTATAACCCCAGCCAATCTCAATATTGGCATACAAGGAAGAACAGCTGATCACAACAACTGGTCACTATGCCTAAAGTAGTAAAATCAGTAATAACAGTAGCATCAGGGACAGTCTAGAAAATGAGGAATTGCCAGGTGTGATGGCACGTACCCGTAATTCCAGCAGGAGGATTACTCCAAGTTCGAGGCCAGCCTGGGCTACATAGTGAGTTCAAGGCCAGCCTAAATTAGAGTGAGACTGCCTCAAAAAACCTAAGAAAGGAAAAAAGTAACGAACTATGAATTTGCAGTTTTAATCCTAAGTACAAGATTTATAGTTACTTACCAAAATCTAAGACAAATCAGACAATTATATACAGTACATATCTATTCAGTAGAGCAACTTTACCTTAGGGGAGAAAATTTAAAAGGAGGAAGAAGAAAACCTAGAGAAACGCAGGAAGAAAAAATGAGTAGAAGCAAGGCTGAGAGACCAAGGAAGAGTACCTAAGCTTCAGGAAGTTGGTGAAGAAGACAGGAGGGAAGGAAAGAAGGGGGAAACAAGAACAAAACAAAACAAACTAAACTAAAACAATGTTCATACTCACAAAAAAAAAAAAAAAAAAAAAAAAAGCAATCCAAAAAAAAATTTAAAGGCCTGTGGTTCAAGCCTGTGGTTCTCTGCTGGGGTCTACAGTTTTGTGGAAGTGTTCAGGTCAAGGTGTGACTCTCTTGCTGGTCATAAAAGAGGCAGGCAGAGCCCAGATCAGTGCTGGATTACCCCAACAAACCAGCAATAGGATTAGGGTGCGGTGCTGCTTCTGGGACTTTCAACCCACAGAAATTCAGGTTGAACCTGGCCTCTGGTTGTGGTGATGGGGACCACGTCCTTTAGCTTGCAGCACTCTGCTGCCATCCTGACCAGGGCTCCCTGACCAGGGATGTCTCCTGTGGCTCCTCACCCAGTCACTGTGGAGTTTAACACTGGGAGCCCTGAGATGAAGCCAACCTCGGGCTGCTCTGAGTCCCACGTTCAGGTGCCCCTCCCTAAAATGATGACGTCCAGCCGCCCTCACCAGGAGATGTGTCAAATGCTTGGACTGGGGTCACTCACCAGCTTTTGTAGTGCATGGCATCTACTGCTCTGTCCCACGGGTGCATGTCTCCCTCAAGGCCTCTGGAATTGTCTGCTTCTCTGTGTCTCTGTAGATTCATTTTTTTGAAGTAAAACATTTATTGATACATTTGGATATACATGATAACATTCATCATAGGAAATTTGTATGTATACATATCTTTTTTTTTAATCTTCACACTACTAGCCAGGAGCCAGGGAGGAAGTGTAGATTGCCTCTTCCTTTTTCTGCATTGTGTTCAGTCTCTTCAGTTTTTCTATAGGCTCCAATTTTCCCTTCAGACCCTTCCTGAGTCCCAGGGGTCCACCTCTCTCCTCCTTTTCTTCCCCAAGTTATTATTTTCCAGTGTCTGGATTCTGAATCTTGGAGAGGCCAACTTATTGCTACTTACCACTCTGCCGTCTTTCCAGAAGTTCTACCTAGATATAATTTTTGAGCTTTGTATTGGCACATAATTAAGTTACCTGGATACACTTTAATCTTGTCAAGCCTTGCTTTTAAAGTTAGAATGCCGGGCGTGGTGGTGCACCCCTGTAATCCCAGCACTCAGGAGGCTGAGCCAGGAGGATTGCTGTGAGTTCAAGACCAGCCTGGACTACGTAGTGAGTTCCAGGTCAGTCTCAACTACATAGTGAGACCCTGTCTCAAAAAAAATAGAAAGAAAAATAAAATAAATAAAGTTAGAAGCTGGGTATGGCAGTGCATACCTGTAATCCCAGCACTTGGAAGGCTGATGCAGGAGGATTGCCACAAGTTCGAGGCTAGCTTAGGCCTACATAGTCAGTTCAAGGCCCAGCCGGGACTACATAGACCTTTTCTCAATAAATAAAAATTTAAAAATAAAAAAAAAAATGTTAGAGCCAGCTGAACTCTTAGGGCTAATGTGACCCCATCCTGGACAGTAACCTTCCATGGATCCTACAGGTGCACCAGCTGTTGCTGGGTATCTCTCTTCTGGCCCTTGAGAATGGGAGCTACTCCCAGCCTGTTCTGGGTAGCTTTGCCGGGGTTGCTGGTTGTACACAAAGACTTGAGGGGCACCCGCTACACCTCAGTGGAGCTCTTTCCCTATCCTGTACTCTGCAAATTCTAGTTGTCTTGGCCTCCTCGTGTTCTCAGTGAGTCTGCAGTCATTGGAGTTCCTGCCCTGTGGTGTGGCTCATGCGCTCTCCAGATGGAAACAGGGCTCATGCAGATCTTCTCTGAGAAATACGTCCTGCATGCCTCTTTTCCAGTGTCTAGAAACTTCAGAGTTTTATCCAAGTTCTAGTTATTTAAGATAGAAAGGGAAGCTCAGTCCCTGTTGTCCTGCTCAGCAGTGGAAGTGGCTGCTTTGGTTGGACTCTGTGTCTTCCAGTTTCTCCTGAGTGACCAGTGGGTATCTCCTGAGGCAGGCCCTGTCTGACCCCTGCCTGGGAGGGAGTACCTTTCCTCCTCCACCTGAATCCCCTTGAAGAAATTAGGAAATTCTCTCCTTCACAGCAAACCACTTTTCAATGACTTTTTTTTTTTTTACAAAATTTGCCAGCATAGAAAATCCTACTCCTAATAACTCAAAAGCCACTGGAGCATCTTTAAGGCTAATCTCACTGAAAATAGGAAGACACACTATATGGGCACAAATGCTTGGAACTGAAGAAAGCCCATGAAACCCTGCCTGTAGCTGGGGGCCCAGCACCTCAGCAGGGCAGAGGATTTCCCCGAGCCACCAGGGGCTGGGCCTGCTGGGAGGGGCTCCGGAGCAGGCAGAGCCCAGAATGTGGAAGCAGGTGATGAAGGAGCACCAAGCAGCGCTCCCCTTCACCCTCGCCGTAGAAAATGAGCCCCTTTGCTGCTGTGGGGCACCCACTGGGGTCTCCAGGGTGCTGGCCCCCCAGTGCACGCCTTGTGTTCGCGTGAGGCTGGGACAGGGAGCTTCCTACCCCTGCCAGCTGCGCTTCAGGGGTAGATTTCGCCCTGTAGCTGCCGTGAGCTCAGGAGAGCAAGGACATACTCATAATCTGAACCTTCCGTGGTCAGGGTCGTGAGTGTTAGTCTCGGGGCAAACGAAGAAAATCAAAGCCAAGTGGTTTCGTCCTTTTTCAGAATTGCTTCTGCAGTTTAGATCCTCTTCCCCCCATTTTGGGAAAGGATGGGAAATAAAATCAGTATCGTGAAGCCACGTAAAGGATAGTCCAGAAGAGCTGGTGCATGCCCGTAATCCCAAATTCAAGGCCAGCCTGGGCTACTTATCAGGGCCCTGTGGCTAACACTCCCCTGGAAGAGCCACAAGTGTCAGTGTGAACTGGAAGGGCAGACGCATTTAGGTAAAAGGATGGGGCTGGGTCCAGGCGGGTCGCTACCCAGAACGCCCTGGTCCCTGGTCAGGGGGAGGTGCGTCCTGGGGCGCCTGCGCAGTGCCCTCCCTCCCCACACTGCAGACCCCACGGCCGTGTCCTACTCACGGGTGGATGGTGGCCTCTTAATGTGGGGCCCCGACACAGTGGGGCACCCATACCGCAGAGACAACGAAGAAAAAAACACCTTAGGAACAAAGTCGAAACGCCAAACCCCAAGACGCCCAAGAGCCTCCTCCTTTGGATTAAGCATAAACTGGAGAGGACCCTTTGAGAAGTTTCTTTGTATAAAAAGTTCCAAGGAAAGCTGTCAAGTCCTGTAAAAGCGCAGCAGACAATCAGCGAGGCCAGCAAGTGCCGCCGTCAGGCTGTGTCGCAGCTCAGCGGGAGCTGGACGGCCCTCAGTGACTTCCCAGGGCGGCGGCTCCCAGCCTCCTCCTTTGGATTAAGCATAAACTGGAGAGGACCCTTTGAGAAGTTTCTTTGTATAAAAAGTTCCAAGGAAAGCTGTCAAGTCCTGTAAAAGCGCAGCAGACAATCAGCGAGGCCAGCAAGTGCCGCCGTCAGGCTGTGTCGCAGCTCAGCGGGAGCTGGACGGCCCTCAGTGACTTCCCAGGGCGGCGGCTCCCGGCTCCCAGCACAATGGGAGGGACACGCTGCCCGGCCTGTGCATAGCCGGAGGGGGACGGCGGGAGGTCTCGGCCCTGCTGCAGTGCCGCCATCACCTTCTGTCCTTTCCCCAGAAAGCCATTAGTGTGACGTGGGGAGAAGTTCGGGGACAGGAAATGCGTTTAGCAGTCTACACGATGGTGCTTGGAGTCTGGGTTCTAGAGGTATAAAATGAGGAAGCCAGAGTTCTCTAGCTCCTGCGTATTTTGACAGGGAAAATCTACTTTTGTCTTCCACTCTGCACGTCTGACCCAAGTCATTTGCACACTCCTGGTTTATGCACTGTGCTCTCAGATGTGCACTGACTTGTGCGGTGGTTTATTCCCAGGTGCACCAGGGACCATTAAACAGAACAAATGTGTTTTTTCTGCAGAGTTCCTTGCCTAGTATATAACGTAAATTTAAGTAAACTTTTGTGGAGCTTGTATTTTGTATATTCGAGGTGAGAAATAAGTTTTACATAAACCTGTAGTATTTTACCTGAAAAAAGGATGAGGCTGCTTTACCAGCACGCAAAAGCAGGCAAGGACTCTTAGCACCACTAACTGGGAATAGGAGGAACGGTCCTCGGGCATTCTGCTGAAGGCCTGTTCTGTCCTAGCTGTGCCTCGGGACAACTGTCAGTGATGACAGGCAGGTGGCCGGCTCTGCTGCCCAGAACCTTCGCAAAGCCTTACCTGCCAGGCACTGCTCTTCCAGCCGGAGTATTCCTGACTCGTGGTGGTATTTCAGTTGCACTCCGGTGTTGACGATCTGGGGCAGCGTTCAGTCTGTGGAGGACGTCAGCAGTGTCTCCTTTGTTAGCGGCGTGGCCAGCAGCTGCTGGTAATTCCAAACTCGGTGTTCCTTCTGCCGGGCTGTGCTGCTCCCCTGCACTAACGCTGTTTCACCTGCTGTGCCAGGCTGTGCCAGGTTCTCTCACAGCTCCTCCTGCTGTCTTAGATGGACTACAGAGTATACGGTACTGCTGTATGACCAGGTCATCGAAGAGCACTTGGATAGCGCTGGCTGGGGATTGAGCTCAGTGGCACTGCGCCTGCCTGTCAAGCACAAGGTCATCCTGAGCTCCATTCCCAGTACAAAACAAAAACAAAAACTGTATAGTGCTGGGGATGGAACCCAGGGCCAGGTGCATGATGGGCAAGTGCTGTACCACTGAGCTATGTGCCCCCTGGCCCTTTTCCAGGGTGGGGGTAACCCAAATACAAAAACCAAACCGGATTTATCAAGTGGCTCGGCACTGATTTCTAAACCCCCACCCTTTTCGTACAGAAACAAATGACTATACATTAGATACATCTCATTTTCCAGGGACTTCACGGAGTAAAGCAGTGCTGGTTTTGATAGAGCAGGCAGGAGGGCTGGTGGGGTACACTTCCTCCAGCGGTGGCCGTGAAAGGGAAGCTTACTCGACAGAACAGACTTCCGCTTTCTGGTTAGTGCCGCCGGTGTCTGTTTGGCAGGGACTATGCAACACGGTAATGCAGGTAATGCCCTAGTTTGTGAACCCAGATCTCAGGCACACAGCAGGGGTTTAAAGTTTCTGTGACCAAATCCTACAGAAAAATAAGTAGGTCAGCATCTTACTTAAAGGGCTTTTTTCCCCCCACAAAGGATTTGCTGTAAGTCTTCAAGTCATCTTGTCCAATCCAAAAGCTGTATTTAAGCGTCGAGGGTCCCAGCCAGGGATGCAAGAATCCGACTTTCTGAAACAGATAACCACCGTGGAAGAGCTGGAGCCGAAAGCAAGCAACTGCACCAAGGTACCGCTTCCCTGGGGTGGCGCGGCCCGAGTGTGGGCGCGGAGTGAGGCTACCCCGGTATCTCCCTCCGCAGGTCCTCGTGTGGCACACGCGGACAGAGAAGGTCAACCTGGCCAACGAGCCCAAGTACCGCCTGGACTCCGTGAACATCGAGGTGTAGGCGCGGCGGCGGGACTTCCAGGTACCGTGCTTTTCTCCGCACAGCCCCTCCGTCCCAAGGGGAGGGACCGCGCAGGGAGGGCAGTGCGCCTCGCCCTCATCCCTTGCATGCTTTCTCCGCAGGTTCGCTGGAAGGTTCCGTGCGTCACTCTAGGTGACACTGCAGAATGCCACTCGAGTGTCTTACACACTTCTTTCCCCATTCGGCCTTATGATCAGTAGAGCTGTGAACGGACTGAGTATTTCGTCAACTAAACGTTCCCAATTCCTGGCTTTCAACATGAATTTCTGAAAGGTTAGTGACAAGAATACACTGTACGGGGGGAAAACACTCACAAAAAGGTCAATGGATTCATCTGTTTAATATAGGGAAATAACATTTTGTCAATACTAGGCACCATAAAATGTAAACACAATTACTGTCATAAACCTGGATAGACCTTCAAGGATTGAAAGTAGCTTTGCTTTTTAGTTACCCTGTTTGCATAGAGTGCAGGAAAAGGTCTTCATGTTTCAGCACTGTGTACATTAGAGATCCAAATTCAAGAGGCAGCTGAGATTTGAATTTTTAACATTCATTAAATTAAGTCGTCTAGCAACATCCAGGTTTATCTTCCTTTCACTACCCGCGTTCCCTGTTAAGCACATCGTAACAACAGCACAGTGAGGGGAACGAGGAAACTAAAGAATTTTGATACACGACAGAACAGTGCTCAGTGACACATTTACATTCTATTTATGTGATTAAACGTCGGCTCACACAGTACCTTCTACAGATCACTGGCTAATATGGGGCGGGGTTTGGACTGCCGGAGTATTACTAACGTAACGTGACTACTTCCCTTCTACGCAAACATTAGAGCTATACTTGTACTGAGAGTGAGACTGATTATGCAATCGGCCGGGCAGCTTCGCAGTCATGGCCGTGAAATCCTGGGCGACGCGCGCAGAGCTGCCCTGGACTGAAGTGGTTTCCCAGCCTGCTGCTCACGGCACCGACACGCAGTGGGCACAGGGCAGCGCGGGCCGGGGGAGGGCAGAGTCTATGTACAGGCGAGCAGGGGAGCCAGGCGCACTTCTCCAGGCGTGTCCGGCGTCCGCGCTGGCTGGAGCCCACGGCTTCACTTCCACAGCTGCGTGCTCAGCGTCTGGCCCGCCGCGCTCCCTGGCCAGCCTGCAGCGGTGCTGGGGGGCTGCCCGAAGCCCGGCGTGCCGGCACCGCTCACGCCCAAGCCCGCCATCTGCTGGGTCATCTGTGGGCACAGGAGGCTCGGTTAACAGATCGCTCAGTTTCTTTAGCACAGCTGGACATTTTTCCATTAATGTGAAGATTAGTCAGAGCACTGGGATAAAAGCAGATTACATAAAAATATTTCTTTCCAGAAAGCAGTACCTACTTTGTTTCCTACTATTTTCAGCACTGTTTCATAAAGTAATCTCAATCGTACTGCATTTGTCCACTTTCTGTATTCAATTTTTACCCCCAAAGATTAACCACAATGAAAAAATACCAATCTTTTAATTTGTATCTAGGTGTATGAATATGAGTCCATTAACCTTTCAACTATATATTAAGATACTGTCATGATACTAAATAAGAAAATTTTAGTGAAATACTTCAGAATTATTCTGTATACTTTGATGGCTGTAATCTTTGTATGGCTCTATATATGTTCTAAAGCACATATTCTTTTTGTGTTCAAACGATACGGTAACAGCTAATAACAATTTTCATCACATCCTGTAAAGTGAAAGTCTAATCTGGGGGAGCAGTAGCAGGACTGAACCCAGGGCTCTGCACACGCCTGGTAAGCTCTCTGAGCTACATCTTTGGCCCTTTTAAAAAACTTGTTTTGAGACGGGATTTTGTTGTATTGCCCAGGCTGGCCTTGAACTTGCGATCCTCCTGGCTGGCTGAGATTACAAGCATGTGCCACCGCACCTAGCCACGCGTTATTTTTCTTCCAGAGAAGGAGTTGATTCCTAGGCCTCTTGATTTTGAGACTGTCTTACTTTAAGGCGGGCACATTAAGAGTAGGAAAGGCAAGTCTGACCACAGAGTGCAGAGCGAGTTAAGGAGCCACGCGCAGGAGAGAAGTGTGTTCCTTTTGCAACTTTTCAAGGACACTGACGTGGCTGATGAAACGCGAGTGTCTTCTCACACCATGGAGGGTAGGGGACGCCCTGCCAGGGAGTGGGGCAGGGCCGCTTTCTCCTTAACCTGCTCACTCATGCAGCCACAGGAAAGCTCTTCCTGACATTGGCGCTTTATAACTTCGGTATCACATTCCTTTACACCATGACTGCAAAAGCATGACTTGCAGCAGTCAGGGGATGAACAGTGTTCTGCTCACGTTAGAAATTGGGTGAGGGAACCACGTCTACGAGCCTTTGTCAGGGGAGCTGAAGGGCACGGAGCGCACCTGAAACGGGAGTGTATGGTGAAAGATACGATAAAGTTGTCTTTGTACCTAAGTTCTTCACAGGTTATGTGGAAAGGAAGTACAACTTTCCGTGGCTTTCTGAAAAACAAATGCCTACGGAGCCAGAGGCAGTAACTGCGATAGGGAAAGCAGCCTCAATTACTCCTAAGAGTGTGCTTTTAGAATATGAGGCTGTCTTTTCTAATTTGTGAACGTTGTGCAAAAAAAGACTCCCACTTACCAGTGGACAGGTTAATAAAAGTGGTATTCACAAACACGCGCCCGGAGCTGGCTCGGAGGGGTCGGACAGGGCGTCTTTATAGAACAAGTCGTTCGCCTCTGTGATTAAAACTCTGTATAACACTTTGACCTCATTCAGCATTAGCCGCATGCACCCTCTCGCTAGAGCATCTGATTTCACAGCACGAGTTCGAGAAGAGCAAAGGGCCCCTACCTGAGAGAGGCCCCACTGGGGCTGCTGCGCCTGGGGCAGGCCGAACTTACTCTGGGGCGTCCCCAGCTGCCCCACCATTCCTCCTTGGGGGCCGACAGCATTCTGAGGAAGGGGCATCACGCCCGTCTGTGCATTTCCCATGAACCCGTTGGGCACGGGCACGCCCACCATCATGCTTGTGCTTGGACCCATTGTGCTTCCCAAGAGGCCGGGGGCCGCGGGCACACCCATCGCCGGGAAGCCTTGAAATGTGCTCGGCGGCTGTGAGGTGAATGGAATATTTGTGGGTCCCATGAACACACCTGCATCATAAGAACAACGAAGAGAACAATGAATCAACAGGGCTACTGCATGTAGCTGTGCTCACCCTGCACACACAGAAAAGGGATTATCGTCTTCCTGTCTACTCTGGACAAGTTTCATTCCAGCATGATTTCTCCTACCGCTGACTAACTTGCATCTGAACTCCCACAGCTGGGTATTTCTAGAAATAGTGGAATGCTGGGAAATAATTACTACCCTTAAAAAACCTCAACCTGAAAATGAGAGTGAGTGTCAGACAGCAGCAGGAGGGTGTTCCAGGAGCCCAGACTTCCCGGGACAGAGTGTCCACGCTGACATGCACCGCACGGGGGGCCGCCCCAGAGTTTCCACGCGTGTGAGGGCGGCTTCTTACTTCAGATGGTCTAGCAGGTTAACCGAATGAATGTTAGGCTAGCATTTCATGGTAATGACTAAACATTTCAAAGGTTCTGGAACCCATGTGGTAGCTCAGACGACTTACTGTTTACCTGCAAAAATATGTCCAAAATTTCATGTAAAGTGAACTTCAATAATCTGTCGTGTATGCTTATGAAAATATTAAGTGATATGTGAACAGCTTGTTAATTCTCAATAAAGTTTTGTGAACATGTCATTTCCATTTTATGGGTGTGTAAAGGGCAATAACGAAAGCAACTGCTGCCACAGGAAAGCAGGGAAGAAACAGTTGATATTACTGTGGTTACAAAGTACTTTAGTAATGTCACTGTAATTCTCTGAAAGCACACTGCAAAAGTACTTACCAGGAGTGCTTTGCTGCTGAATAGTCCCTGTCCCGTACAGAGACAGGATAGAGTCTTTGGAGAGCTGTTTCTTTGCTACTTCTTCTGGTTTTGCAGTTTGCTCAGTGAACAGATCCAGATCCCCAGATGTGACTGTGGACAGGGCAGCAGCTGCTGGCACAGAGGGATTCCCCTGAAACAAACACCAAAGCAGGATGTTGAATTCTGCACAATAAAGCTCAGCTCGTCAGCTACCCAGAGTCCAAACAAAGTCAGGAAAAACACGACTGTTCACAAACCCACTGAAAACATCTAGAGTGAAGGTATGATGTTTCCGAGACAGACTAGAGCTCTTTCATAACAAACTGCACTTCCCAGCCAGATGATACAGCTTTCTCCCCATCACACTGGGAACACGATGGGTCTAACAGCTGTGTGGATATCACTGCGCCTGCCTTGAGGAATAGGCATCCCTTGGAATGAAGAACATTTCTAAGCTGGGTGTGTGGTGGCACACACCTGTAATTTCAACACTCTGGGAGGCTGAAGCAGGAGGATCACCAAGTACCAGCCCAGGCTTAGTTAGACCTGTCTCAAAACAAATGGCTGGGGATGTAGCTCAGTGTGAAGGCCCTGGGTTCAATCCTCTGTGTGTGTTTGGGGAGATCTACAACTAGCAGACTGCAAGAAGGTCCTACAATGGTTGCTTAAAAGACTTATCTTTTAGGGCTAGGGATTTAGCTCAGTGGCACCACACCTGCCTCACAAGCACAAGGTCCTGAGTCCTGAGTTCGAACCCTGGTACCAAAAAAAAAAATCCTTTCAAAAGGTACACTGTTGGGATTCTTACATATCTCATCTAAGGCAGGTGTTGTGTTTTGTTTTTGAATCAAGGTTTCACTTATGCAGTCTCGGCTGGGCTTGAAGTTGCTATTTTTAAGGTCAAGCTGGCCTCAAATCCCCAATTCCTTATGCCACCATACCTGGCCTCTGGGTCAGCTGTAACAGCATTAGAACGGACACACACATAACTCAACTATATCCTACACTGGAGGTAAACAAACACAAATGGAGGTATTTAATATAAAACAATTTTGTTAACTTAATCTGTATCTCTTTTTGAGACAGGGTCTCACTCTGTAGTCCAGGCTGGCCTTAAACTCACAGCAATCCTCCTGCCTTAGCCTCCCTCCGGAGTGCTGGGATTACAGGCATCACCACCATGCCTGGCTACTTAATCTGTATCTTGCACACAGTACTGAACACACTGATCTTACCTAATCATCTCTGCAGTCACTGAATGCTTTCAATATGGAAGTTTAATGAATTCTATGAAGACTGGTCAAAGCTGCTTAAAAGTCTTCTCAAACTATACATCACTTACAGTGAGTGGCAAAGAGTTAAATTAAAAATCGCCTCATTCGAACACCATGTAATAAATTAGTATCCAAACATTCTACTCACAAATGAGGCAACAAATCATCTTCAACCTATAATGGCTAGTTAGGAATCATGAGACATTTGCTTCATTTTGTAAAACTTCACGGTACCACACAGAATAGTGCCTTTGCATAAAGACACCCTAGCTACCAGGGAACACACAAATCACAGAGGCCAGGCCGGGGGTACCGGTGTCCCCTTGTGCACAACATGTCAGCTACACAGTGCAGGGTCACTCGCTTGGGACTACGTGCATATTGTTAGGTGCCAAAGCAACTACATCGCTAAGTCATCTTTTTCCTCACATTTAATGCCTGTCCATTCTAAGGATCTTCCACACCCTGGGGTCTCTTCCCTGTAGATGTAAGCACAAGAAAACCCAAAGTGGTCAGTGAAACTCATTCTGATTTCGTACACGAGCATGACCTGCACTCCACGAGTGTTTCCCACAGAGGAGACTGTGGAACATGGGTGCGGCTAGACGACGCCCGCACGGCATGGCTGTGGGTGCTCCAGTGTCGTCTGCCATCCTCTGCTGGTGCTGACAGGGAGCTGTGAGGTCTGACAGACTCTGTGCCACAGGGGTGTGGATGACCGCTGGGCCCTGGGACCGTCCCTCCCTCCACTGCGCTGTCGAGTATTCCTAGGCCTGGACGGGTAAGGCAGACACACGGCCAACCTGTTTCCTACTCACAAGTGGAAAATCTTTTACTAGAATTTATATCTGCTGGAGAATCGAGTTCAGAGTACTTCATAATCTTGGTGTTCAAACTAGTTTAAGTTCTTTCATATATTAAATATCCACCAACATTAGAAAATTATACAGTGTATGTGTAAAATCTGTACTTCATTATCAAAGGCACTATTTTTAAATGTGCGGTCTCCGTTCGTTGCCCTGCCCCTCCTCGTCAGGGCTCTGTGCCCTATCACAGTGCCACGTGTGCAGAAGTTAACACCCACACCCGCTGCTAGCAGTGAACGGCACAGGCCACACACTCACCGAGACCGCAGATGAGCAGAGCCAAAGCAGCTCTACCCAAGGGGGACCTCAGTTCCTCTTTTTATGTATGTTGCAGCAGGGGGAGAAAGGACAAAGCCATAAAATGAGCTATCTTTGCTGAAAACAAACACTATTACTACAGGCAAGTTTGACAAAGATCCATTTAACTCATTTCTAAGAAGTCTGCTTGTGCAGTTCTAGAGGTAAGTGCACAATAACCGTCGTATCAGAACGTGTTTGTGTTAACAGTCTTCTCAGTAAGACCTAGACTTTGCTGTACTATAACTGTATAAATCAGATCTGGCTCAGTTTTTCTGCAGAAAAGAAGGCATGTTCCTAAATAATGCCATACTGAAACTGATTATTTATAATTTACTGTTGCATGCTGAAGTCATCTGTACCCTGAAAATTCCTGTACTTCACCTTTATGAAAATTCTATGTCATGTTAAGACGATTCTCCATTAATGTCAAAAATAATTTCGATCATTAATATACTGCTGTAAATAGTTCTTTAAGCACACACAAAAAAAGCAAGGGAGGTTTTTAAAGCTAACTTAAAATATAATTTCACCTTTATGAAAATTCTATGTCATGTTAAGACGATTCTCCATTAATATGTCAAAAATAATTTCGATCATTAATATACTGCTCTAAATAGTTCTTTAAGCACACACAAAAAAAGCAAGGGAGGTTTTTAAAGCTAACTTAAAATATAATTTAGCTTCAGGAAAGAGAATATATAAACTGAATCTGCTAGAACTTCTTACTGCAGTCACAACTAGCAAATGACCAGTTTAAAAAACCTCTGAAGCATGTGACCTCGTTCATCGTGGGTCAGGCTGAAGCAGTCCAAGTATTTTTCCCTGTTGGTCATAAATGAGCCAGCCAAGGTGAGAACTTTAAATATTTTATGCTTTATGGGTCACATGGCCCCTGCTGTAGCTTTTCAATTCTGCTTTGATAACAATGAAGTAGCCAGAACCAACATTGGAACCGAAGGGAGCGCGTGGGTCCCAGTAAAACGTTACCTACCGAAAACAAGCCGCAGGCTTCATTTGCCAAACTCTGGCCTAAAGTGGTTTTTCAAACCAGTGACTGCTCAGAACAAGTATTCAAAGGAATAATCAGGAGCCAGAAGACCAGTGTTGCCACATACCTGAGCCGGGGGCATCACAGCTGCAGGTAAAGGGTTGGAAATCATCGGGCCAAAGATGTCCAGGTCGTCGCCCAGGGCTGGCAGTGTGGCTGTGCTCCCATTGGTTACCGGTGCCTCAGCGGGGCCATCTGAGAAGAGCACAGATCCCCGTTGTAAGGCAAAATCGCTTCCAGGGTCTGTCCCTCTGCCCAACTTTTAATTTTGTTTATTCTTTACCCACCCAGTTTCTAGGTGTATACCCACACCCGCTTTTAACAAATTATTCACAATATTTTGCACACTTATTTTTGGAGGTCTCATTTGACCACTTCTAACTAACTACATTGGAAATAAATTTTGATGACTTGAAATGTCTGAAATGTATTTTAAAGTCATAACAGGGGGAAAAACAGATTGTAAAACACACTATTTTAATTGATTCTATAGAAACATTTATAAAATTCTGAAAAATTATTTAAGCAGACACCTTTAACGATGACGGTGCCAAGACACAGAGCCATCTGTGGAATGGGATTCTGACACAGCTTCCTACCAAAAAATTCAAATAAAATTTGTTTTAAAATATCAATAATTGAAAAAAGAATTTTACATGTCCTTTTCTATTAGCAAATAAATAACTGCACAGTGCGAGGAGTGGGAATTCCCAGCAGTGTTCTGGGGGACATTTCACAAAGTTCAGTGTTCTTTGGTCACAACCAAAAAACAGCTCAGAGTGGGACCCGGAGACGAATCACTCTTCAGTAAGGAATGTATAAGTACAGTCTTCTCAAAGATAAATCATTTTAAAGGGCTTTGCAACATTAAATGGGTTGCTTTGTGCAAAGTGGTGCTCGGATATTTGATATGTTTAAGGAAGAATCTTCCACCCACATTATTTCCACCACAGCCCACAGAAACTCTCACTGGTTTCCCTTTTTCAAAGTATAACTATAGAAATTGGAGTCTCTTATTTCTTTACTTAAGCGTCAATAAATTATAATCATTAGCATCAATGAATAAAAGGTTACAATATTTTTTACTATTTTATTTATATAAAGGCATTTGAAATCTCAATTAGGTTAATTTGAAAAATAACTGCAAGTGTATGTCATCAAGTCATCTGCAGTGATAATCACATCGGAACGGTAAAAAGTATATTTACTGTATACGTAGGTTACATATAATCCACAGACGCGCACAAACTGAAAGGTGAAGCAACAAGATGACGCAGCGATTGTAATTCGTAACACAGAATCCTAAACTGACAGCTATGGATGAGGATTTAGGTGACTCATCACGTCTACCTTTTCAGGATGGCAGCATTTATTTTTCAAGTCTGGCTTCTTTAAAGAGCTATTCTAGTTCATTCTAAACATGAGCCAGAAATAAACATTTGAAAAGGAGACGGTTTTAGATTTACAGACACAGCCAACGTATCCCTTTGTGATCTGACACTTCGGTAAAGAACCCAGATGAGGATGCATCAGTAGTGGTGCTTTAACCCAGAGCCTTTCCAGCGGACACACTGAAGTATGCTGATACGAACGAGGAGGCACTTTTCTTAAGCAGGAAATATATCTATATACAACTACATAAAACTGTAAAAAAACTATAAATAAAACTAACATAATCTCACACAAACGGAAGTCCTCCAAAGGAAACGGCCATCAAAAGAGGTATAGAAAGGGAAACTGACACACTGAATATAAACAATTAGCTCCAGCTTCTTTTTCAAGCTACAGCAAACACCAACAATTAGGACAAATTTATGAAAACTTCAACGTTAGAAACTACTACCACCTTATTTTGGGGCAGTGAATGAAGCAGACACTATCAGCTGATTCTTAACCGCAGAAGGCAGATGTTTCACAGGACACTGCTGTAACCAGCCGCGAGGCTCTTCCTCTACGCACAGATTAATTTTCCATTATATTTACAAACTGTCTGTTTCAGAAAGTCTAAGGCGCTCCAAGTAGTCTACTCCATTCTAAATATGTACTTATTTATACTTTCAAATCGAACTTTTTTGGGTATCTATTAACTTATGAAGCACATTATTTGGTTTTTAGTCTGATTTTATTCCTCACAGACTTTAGTTTTAGCTTAGGATTAACCATTAGGACTAATAAATTTTCCAGTGTCCCAGACCTAGAGAAAAGCCTTGGATTGTGATCTCAATTTTTACGACTAGGTAACAACATAATCTTGTGAAGGACTCAAGACATGTAAAAATGAAGAAACCACAAGCGCCTACTACTACCATGGATGCTGGTGATGTTTGTACAACAATGTGGATGGATTTAATACACTGAACACTGCAAATCTTACCACAGTTTTAAAACAATAATTACAAGTACACAAAATAAAATGATGTAAGTGTAGGTGGTGGGAGAACAGCATTCTGGGGTACTGCACAGACCCATAATTTGTAATTTATGGGCATGTATGTGGTTTCCTGATCTTCACCGTGAGAGACTAACCTGCACATCCACACGGCTAAATATACATTTTATAACGCTCATGCCCGCTTCTTCCAGGGAATGTGATTTCTGTTTTCACCGCCACACTGAAATGAGTCCATCCTCTCATTCTGAGTTTTAACAAATATGTGAGAAGCGGCCTCTGGACGCCTCAGGCTTTCCACACCGACTCCCGTAACACCCAGCACAGCAGCTCACAGCCCTGTCTCAAGGGCCCACCTGAGAAGCACCTTGGGATGAGACCGGAAGCACCCGCTCAGGACAGCTGGCGTCATCTTCAGAGGGCTGAGGAAGGAGACCCCTCGGCGCCCCAGGCCCAGTTCCCACAGCCTCAACCAGGACCCCTCCCCACCCCGCCACGGGGCCTGGGCTTCACCCCAGACAGTTCCTTACTGCTGCAAAAGCCACACACCCATAGATTTGTTGAAAAATGAATTCTTAACCTAAATGAAACTTGTCAACCACATAAAATCAGTAAATTCAAGTTCCCAATGGGTTTTGATGTTTTACTCACATTTGGCTTCTAAACACATTTCTTAAAAAGGACAGTTTCCATTCTTTTTGAAGGTCACTGTTTTTCAGTTTTAAAAAGTACAGATGAAGACTCATTATCGTTGCCATTATTATCAACATCCTTTTACCCTGGACGTTTTGAAACAAGGTTTACATGTTAGCATTTCTGTCTGCATAAAGGACCGGATGACCAAGACCTCCGGGTGTCACTCACCTGGCCAGGCAGGAGGACTCCGCTGACTGACGAGGGCGCTTTCTTCAAACTCTCCTTCACCAAACGCCACCAATTACAAGGGGACTTAGGTGAAGGGAGTGTAAGGAAAACTGTCACAGGCACCGGCCAGGGTGACCGCGTCTTGCGGTGGCCCGCGGTTTCCCCGAGAGGGCAGGCCCGACCTCTCAGAGGCTGGAACCTGCAGCAGCCTGGGTGCAGCCACCGCTCCCTCCCCTCCCTCTCCACACCTCTCTCCGCTCCGCTCCACTCCGAGGGAAGGAATTCACACCAAAGCCACCTAAGACTCCAAAATTTAGAGTAACTTTTACATAACTTACAATGGTTCGTGCTGACTTTGAGAAGCGGGGACATAAACAGTCCAAGCTACATTTACGCTTCATTCTTTCTCATCATCTCTGCTCTCCCACTGTCATTTTCCTCTCAAGTTACAGGGAAGAAGACAGGCCAGAGAGACCGGGTATCAACAGCCCTCAAAGAAGAAGATTCCAAACCACAGGACGCTTAATGTGGTCTTCTGGTCAAGGGCCCATGCACAGCACAATTCCTGCTGACTGAATAAAAGCTCTCGGCCACAAAAACAACTGAGTATCACGACAGGAAAAAAAGGTTTCACAGAAGAATTTTAAAAATTGAGAAATAATAAGGCTTATTCAAATTAAATGTTTGAAGCAGGGTAAATCACTCTAATTTTACAAAATACACGAGCAGAGGCCGTGTAGCGCCTGTGTGCACGCCGACACAGAGGCACTAGGCTGGCAGATGCGGCTCTGTCTGTCTGTCCGTCTCTCTGCTTACCGGTAACCACACAGACGGCACCGGAACAGCGCTGAGAGTGGCGAGCAGCAGGCCGAGGCAGCGTGGCCTTTGATCAGCATGCAGAAAATGTAGGTGTTGGATAATACAATAAGGAGAGATCCAGAAAGAAACCCCTAAGGCAAGTGGAAGAAACAGAACTGGGGACAACAGCAATGAAGCACAAAGGGCCCCCTGAAAAGGCAATGAGCAAACAGAAGAAATTAGGACAATGCGTAAAATGAAGAAATAGGGCATCGATCTTCCAGGCAAGGCATCGATTCTACAGTTAGTGGCTTTCGACCCTACCGTCCAATTTCAAGCTAGTGTTTTTTCTGTGCACTGAGTTGATGACAAATATTGAAACCTGCATCCATACCAGAAGCTGGTCTCTGAGCTCCACGAAAAGCTGTCCGCTCCGCATTTTATTTGAACACAGGCATGCTCAGCACCTTCCTACTGACCTGCCTCACATCATGACGCTGCACGCTCAGGGGCCACTCCCTGTGTGGCAGTCCTTACGCCAGTCCCTGGCCTGCAGAAGCCCTCCACACGACAAGAACCGAGACTGTACCAGAGCCCAGCTGACACCAAAAACCCAAGAGGACAGGTAAACAAACGTAGGCACCGTTCAGTGGCCCATCCAAGTACCTTTGGGAATGTGTAACTTAAGCGGAAATGAGGCTGTAACACTCCACATCTGAGTACTGATACTCACCGAGGATCTCCATGCTAGCACAGTCCTGACTCTACGTAAGGAATCTCGATTTAACCTTCTCTATAAACTCCAGCGAATCTGCACAGTAACTTCCCAGAAACTCTTCATCGTGGAAAACCCTGGCACCCCAGGCAGAAACGGGGACCCGCCCTGACTCGGAGTGCAGAAGGTGAATGTGGGTACCAGCCTGTCTCCCCAACAAAACCCCAGGGCGGCAGTGACTCTGGACTGAGCCGGAAAGGCCCACTTGCCGCCAGTTCACCTCCACCTGTGTGGGATCCGCAGGAGCAGTCTGCGGGAGCTACCGATGGCCTCACCGAGGAGAGCTGGCCCGGACAACGGCCCACACCTATGAATTCCACCTCCCAAACGCTTCTCCTGTGGGCCTGCAAATTCTTCCGTTTCGTGTGT